GTCCAACATTAAACTATGTTATAGTTTAAGCCCAGAGTTGTTATGGGTGGGAGGGGGTGATGGAGGAAGGAAAAGAGGGAGGGATTGAGAGACAGAGACACTTAAGTATCTGGCCTTCAGATTTTCAGCACCTGTAGTTTCTGTTCAATATAATTTTAAATGCATGCTTGTTAGCAACCACTTTACACGGCTTAACATGCTAGCTAATTAGGTGACTGGCAAATTTTTGGTAGGATCTACTTTTCATTTAGGGCTTTTTTTTGAGATTGTATGCACATTTATATCAGAGAAAAAACAAAGCATAATATAAACTTAATTCTCTCTGGAAATCTGATGTCATGACCATGCAGAGGAGCTGACGTTGAGAAACCTAATGTTGGCTGTGGGGACATTCCACCTCTCAGAGTGTCTTCTCTGGCATGTGGCATTCTTTGGGATGACACTCTGTCTCTGTCTCCTACAGAAAAATCTTGGCTCTCTTTGGATGTTCAATGTGGGCCTAATTACTGTTAAATGATTCTCAGTAGAGATCATTCCAGAAAACACAAGGCCCACATAGAATTTCGTAGTGGGAATAGAGAAAAGATAGGGCAGAGAATGTTGTCCATAGCTAGGAACCACAGTTTCACCCAAGACATCCACCCAGCACTGGGGACATAGCTCAGCAGTAGAGTGACTGCCTGCCATGTAGAAAGTCCTGGGTTCAGTCCCCAGCACTGGGGAACAAATTACCTGTAACATTTGTGCAGTAGGACCTCCTGGGCTGTCTTTAATCTCTCAATTACCATGTGTCCCTACCCTCACATCACTGGAATACTTCAAAAACATGTTGGATGGCACTAAACATGTGAGAGTTTACCTAACTGTATGTAATAAAGATAGAAAACTTAAATTTGTAAGTCACTATATGAATGAAATATATTGGGGGGTGACTCTGCTAGATGACTGCCACAGACTAGGAGATGAGGAACAGAGGAAGGATATGGAGTTGAGAAAACCTTCTGCTCTAGCCAAGAAGTCACCAGTCACAAACTGTCTGTGGCAGTTTCTCCAAGTCCCCCAGAATCCCAGTGTAAAGAAAGAAAGCAGACTGCTTTGAGTTGTATTGGTATTCTAGATGCTAATGAAAACAGCAGTAAATGTTTTATTAAAATAAGATTGCTCTGTGGATTCTTTGCTCAACAACAAAAACATTATAAACTTTTCTCCAGCAATATATGCATTCTGCCACCACATTCTATATGTTTGTTTCAAAGTCACATTTAAGATAAAGTATCCATAAAAGGTAAAACTAGAGTAGAAATCACTGTAGGGCCAAGTGAATTCTATTCTTAACAATTCATTAAAATCTGTTAAAGTAACACACCCCAGCCAAACTATGTGGTCAACAAAACATCTGCTTATCTCTAGGGAATTGTGTGGGCTCCCTGCAGGCACCTGTTCAGGCAGACCTATATAGCAAGTTACACAAGAACTCCTTCATCCCATTGGTTGATGAGACTCTTACAAGGAAGGGTTGTCAGTGCTGGGTTTGGCGGAATGATTCCATGGGAGCATGCTTCCTGTGTGCCTGATGTCACCTAGGGGTTACGTAAGTCTAATCATAATGAAAATAAATAGATAGATAAATAATTAAATAAATAAATAAATAAAATAGAAAGGTCTGTGCCTGGCTGACCCTTGTCTCCCCAGACTCTTACCTTGTTAAGACAGCAGTAGAGGTTTGCTGTTACTTGGGAAAGAACTATTACTTGGGAAAGAAAAATATTATTTTCCCAAAATTAATACATTGAATAGAGACTTGGGGGGCCACACCCTGATACCACCACAGGAATTACACAGACAAGAAATTTCAAGTTGATAGTGTTCATGCATGTTTTGTTTGACACAGAGAACTCTCTCCATTCCATTTTAATAGGCATAGGATTCACATCTGCAGTAGAGTGCACAACCCTCCAGGATACAGCTTGCCGCATGCACACATTTGTACATTTTATGTATTCATAACCCATACAGTCACTACCCAGATAAGGACATGAAAGTTTCCAGGATCCCATCAGCCTCTGTCGTCCCTTGCCCTGACCAGTCCTTGCTGAGAAGAGAGGCGGCTACTCTTCTGGAATTGTCACCATGGGTTTATAATGGCACCATCACAGTACATATTTCTAGGCCTAGCCTTTCTGAAAGAATAAGGCCCTGTCATCGCCATTTTAATAGCTTGTCCAAAAAGGGGGCCATTTGCTCAGAACAGTCTAGGTTTGCTGTTTTTCAGTGTCCAGGTGTCATACATTAGCCATCTCTGCTGGCTTTCCTTACCAAGCTCCCGTGGAGCTGTATAGTGATTATATTTTCCCAAGTGTCTCTGCAAGGTGCCAGTCAGTTTTCAAAGAAATCACATTATTTTTGAATGGCATCTCTGAAACGCCAATGGCTGTCACAGCAAAACTGATGCATTCTAATGTAGCTTTTCTGAAATTAATGAGTGCCATGTCACCAGCCACTGCTCAGATTAAGCCATGTATGACATTGGTGAGACAGGCCCCCAACTTGTTTCACGCTGCACAGAACAATGCAGATAGTGCAGCTGTTTATACAGCCACTCTTGCTGTTCAAACTCAGTGAAACTTAGTGTCGGGGTGTAGAGGTGTGTGTCAAGAAGCAGAGCTAGCTTTGTAGTCAATGTATTGCTATTATCCCAGACGTTGCTTGTACTTGTTCACTAGTTGCTAGATAAACCAACTCAAGAGTCATTTGGCAAATATGGTACTTCCAGGAGTTCTGAATGCAGCTGGAAAAAAAAAAAGATATAAGGTGCATGGATGCCTCTCCCACAGCCTTGGCACTGAGCCTTGTTTAGACCTGATGGTCCCTCGTCTGCAAAGGGACATTTCAAGAGACCAGAGCCACCTAGCACAAACAAGGCAGCAATATAGAGATTATTTATTTCAGTGTACTCTTTCTCAGAAATAACTAGTATTTTTTTAAAATTATTTGTCATAAATTTGGAAACATAGAAGAATGTCAAGAAAATACCAAATTCCATGACCCGCCGAAGGGAATCTCATGAGTTTTAATATTCCCTCTCCCTCCTTCCCTCTGTCCCACCTTCTGTCCCTCCCTCTCTCTCTCCTTCCCCCCACCCCACCCCACCCCATGACTTTTTCCGCCATCATTAGAAATTCTTGAAGTATCTTTCATGGCAGGGAAGTTCTGAATTGTTCTGTGGAGATGGTTAGTGTGGCAAGATTAAAGGCAGAACATTAGACACTTTGTAGTCCAGAATAAGTTGTTGAAACTGGGGGTGGGGAGCACACTTAGGTCTATTTTGCATTCTTTTCCCCTTGAACTCTTATGCCACCGGTGACAGTAAATTCCCTTTTGTAAAGGGAGGTTTTTTGTTTGTTTGTTTGTTTGTTTTCTTTTTTAACCTCTCTGAAAACAGTCATTATGCTGTTTATTTAAATTCCATGTATATTTTCCTTCTGACCTTGTGTGAGTGGCTCCCACCTGAAATCCAGGTGCAGTCCACCCCCTTAGCCATTTGATGCCTGCCTATACATCCCCACCTGTACAGTCTGATTGGGCCCAAGCAAAATGCTGCCATTGTGAGTGATAAAAATGCAGCCCCGTGACAACTGAGGGAAGGGAAGGAGTGACCCGAGAGTCATGTGGGGAAGCAGGGTGTCATGTGACTCTGTGGCAGCCACTAGGATCGAGATGACCTGTGGATCTCCAAGGCCTTGAGAGCAGCACAGGCCAACTGCAGCAGAGTCCTGTAACCGGACTGTTGCTCGTGGCTGCCCCCTGCTGGGTCTTGTGGAAGACTATAGAGCCAATTACTTTTTTTTTCTCCCGTAACTCAAGTACATATTCCAACACACTTTTAAAACTAAAAATATTCGTTATACTCTCATAATTTTTGTAAAAACAAGCCTTTCAACTACTCATATCAAGGCATTACATTCAAATGATGTCTTTCAATTGTCAGTTCTTTCCCAGGGGAAGAATTAGAAAATTAAGAGCCCTCTAATGGAGCCCCAAGCAAATGCAATCCTGGCTGGCTCTCATGCATATTCTAATTGCTGCGGTGTGCAGCATGTGGTCTGCACTGAACTAATGTTTAAGAGTTCACCTTATTTTTTTTTTCTTGCTGTATAATTATTGGGTAGTGTTCTTCACACTACAGAAAGCAACTTCGAAGATGACACAGGCCGTTTAAATTAGTTGTTAGATAATTACATCCAAAAGAAGAATGGAATTCATAGAGGAAGCAATGAGTGACAAAAGAGAAGGAGAAATCTACCAGATTCAGGAATTTCACTTCTGTGTGTAGAGCCAAAAGATGTATGCTAGAACAGATACTTGTATGAGCCCAAACTCTTAGAAGCAATATTTACAATAGCCAAATGATGGAAACAAAGCCAGGTGTCTGCTGGTAGACAAGCATACAAAGTGTGGTATGTACATAGACTTCAATAGGAAGGAAATCCTGATCCTTGGTGCAAAATTAATAAACCTTGAGGATATTGTGTTGATAGAAGGAGCCAATAACCACTTCTTCATGATTCCACAAATAGACCTTAATAGCTCAGCTCACAGAGGCAGAAAATAGAGTAGAAGTTCTCTGGGACAGAGGGTCGAAAGCTACTGTTCAATGGGTCCAGAGTCTTCATTTTTCAAGAGTTCTTCGGTGGGTGATGGTGGTTGTTACCCAGTAATGTGGATTTTCACAATTCCAGTGAAGTGCACAGTGTTTTAAACATTGAATAGCTTAAAATATGCTGCTCAAGATAGAATGGCTGCAGCTCACACCATCAGGGCACTATTGCAAGAGATGACTCCTCAGTACCTGCTTAACTTCTAGGCTGTCTCCCCAGGAAGGGAGGGGCAGTGGGGGAGACTGTTGACCTTGTGCTCCCTGGAAATCACTAGGACTCTTTTAGAACAGAATGAAATGCTGTGTTCAGTAATGGCTTTTGTTTTTTTTTTCTCCTCTTCAGGGTGTTAAATACCACATTGTTTGAAAGTTGGGAGATCGTCGGACCTTACCCTTCCTGGTGGGTTTTTAACCTACTGCTGTTGCTAGTACAAGGATTGAACTGCTTCTGGTCTTACTTGATTGTAAAAATAGCTTGGAAAGCTGTTTCAAAAGGCAAGGTAAGCTAAAACTCACTTTCTCCGATATGTCCCAGAAATGTCAGGGTATTTTTGGCTCCTTTGAAATCACTTATTTCTGATTTCATCAAAATCAGTGTTATTCCTTCTAAAACCACGTTGAAACACAAACCAAATAATTTTCTTCCCATTAGTTCATTTTTAAAGTTTCTCTGTTGCTTTGGGGATGCTGACACCCAGCATTTACAATTTGAGATTTAATGACGACATACTATTTGCTGTGGATTTTTCCCCCTCTCTTTCCCTTGAACTTTCTCTGATTGTTTATAGTGAGCAGAAATTTAATTTAATAATTTGTTTTAAGGATTGCTTGGTGTCATGTCCACATTTTTAAGTGGGACTATCTCTCAAATGGAAGAATAAATACATTGATGACTTCTCCAATAAAATTGACTTGTCTCTGTTTTAAAATGGAATCATGGTGCCAGGCGTTAGTGGCACACACCTTTAATCCCAGTACTCGGGAAGCAGAGGCAGGCAGATCTCTGTGAGTTCGAGGCCAGCCTGGTCTCCAGAGCGAGTGCTAGGATAGGCTCCAAAGCTATACAGAGAAACCTGTCTCGATAAACAAAACAAAAAAAAATTAAAATAGAATCATGGGCCTGGCTTAAATAAATCTTCCTGAGCCCCAGCCCCTTTGGCTACAGCAGTGACATTTCCAGATCTTTCTTCATGATGTTTTCTTCATTTTTTTGTTCTCTTCCTCCTGCCACCCTGGAAGGCTGGGAAGTGGAACCCTTTACATGTAAGTTTCTTGTCTTCTCTCTTCCTGTCCTGGGTACTTTTGCCTGCTGGAGGGGTGCTTAGGGGCTTTGTTCCATGCATTTTCTTTCATCTAACCTGCTGTTACTACTGGAAGCTTTGTGGCAGTTGTAGTTTCGATAATTGCAAAAGATACCAGGGAGTGTTCTGCCATTGCCCCTTTATATGGTGAGCATGTAAATCTTGCTGGGCCAACAGGGATGGAGACGTTTCTTCTATTGGTGCCTAACATGTTGGCTAAGAGACTGAAAGAGATCATTGGAAGTGAGAAAAACAAAACCAGTTGATCCATGTGGTGCAGAAAGGAGACCTGGGCTACATATATCCTGATCTTCAGAAAACAGAGTGTAGCACTTACCCCTCTGCCCTCAGCCAGACAGGTCCACAGGCTCAGCCCTTTCCTCAGGAGACATCTGGGAAACTTGTAATGATCTATGAAACCAGTCCTCAGCATCACCACCTATCTAAATCCAAAATATTTCTTAGGAGATAAAGTTCATTTTGCCCCGTGACTTATTATTCTTTAAGATGAACTCATGTTTCTTTTGAAATTGTTCTTGCCCTCATTTGGACACAAATTAAATCAACACACATAGTACTGGGAATATGATAATAACTAAAGATGAAGGCTGTGGTAGATTAGATTATTTGTATCCTTATAGCATTACTATTTCTACCAGACCTGTCATCTTCCCTGTAACTGCTATTCCTTCATCTCTGTGAAGAAGTGATCACTAATTAAAATCCACAGCTTCGGCTTCAGGGCTCCCTCTCTGCCATTGCTGCTCTCACCTAACACAGTAAGATTACTCTTGTCCATGGGCTCTTCCTGTGCATTATTTTTAGACATTCTAAATTGCCATTTTTCTTTGACAGTATCTTGACTATGGATTTTTCCAAATGTAATTTAAAGTAATCTTACTAGGCATGCAAATTAACACTCTCTGCATCTCCAGTCCTACATTAGTACCTTAATTTGTGACTAATAGACTTATAAATATAGCGGGGCTTTACAGTAATACTGTCTATATGACTCATGCCTTTTAAGGTGAAATATTCTTATCCAGTCATTTGTTGCCTGGGTATTTAAGTTTGTTGTTCTGTTTTGTTTTTGCGTGAGTAGTCCATGTGAGCTCAGTCTGACCTCAGAGGGCTTTGAATTGAGGATCTTCTGTGTACAAAATCTAGCCCATTGCTGGTTAGACTGGAACAATAGTATTCAGCATTTACTTCTCCCATCTCTACCCACCTGCAAATAATGACGTCCTCACTCTCTAATGGCTTCTGGGTAGTAGATTTCTCACTCTCCGGTTGATGTGAAGGTGGTGAGGAGAGGATCTGATATGAAAGGTTCCCACTAGTTCTGAACACCTTCCAGAGACCCCAACCAGCCTCCCTGCCTAGCCCCTGGAGAATCACTGAAGACCAGGCTGGAAAGATTCCCATGAAGCCAGGCCAACAAGATCCTCTGGCCATCCAACTTAATAATTATGTGGTGAATGAAACTAAGCATGTTGGTAGATACCTAGAATCCCAGCACTCAGGAGGCTAAAGCTATTTTGATGCACAGTGAAGCATGGTATCAAAATAGAAATGGACTGTTTAAGTAAGAATGCACTTCCTTGAAGTTTTTAAGCCCTCCAGGTTAAAATGCTGGCTATAATTTAGACTCACAGAGGAGGGGATTCAAATTATTATGGTTTTAAAATCAACATAGTGTTTCCTTGCTACATAGTAGAATTTCATGTTAACATATAGACATATATCCCAGTGTCTTACTTTGCTGTCATCATTACTTAAATGAAACTGAATGGAAGATTGAAGAAATTGGCACATAGTAAAGCATTTTTGAGGATTTGGCCACTATATTTCTTCCTGGCAAAAACTGAAGCCCTTTCTCATCTAGAGGATCTTCAGAATGCCGTCTGGCACTATTTGTTATTAGGTCACTTCTAAAATAAAATTTCAAGGTAATTTTAGCAAAAAAAAGAAAAGGAAATTAAATATAAAACAATGAATTAGAATGCCAAATAGCAATGATTTACTTTAATGATTTGAGCTAGTGTGTGACTATTTCTATTAGCATGGTAATTGAGAGTTAACCTTAAATAATTGTCAAGGAGAATGTGGTTATTAGTGAGTAAATTGACTCATTTTGCACCCAGTTCCTAAAGTGACATCAAGTAGCATAGATGCCACTATCACTATGGGAAAGGATGGAAATCATGGTCTAGACATTCTCCATGGTGAAGGATGACCTTCAGGCTCTGTTATGTCAAAATTCACTTACATTGTTCATAGCATACTTTGTTGCACACATTATATCCTTCCAGCGAAGAGATCATATCACCTCCTTGATCATTCTCCTCTTGGCTTTTTGTAACAAGTGAAACAAGAACATTCTCCTCTTGGATTTTTGTAACATGAGTAAGTTCATCCTCATGTGAGGTTGTGTGTGCTGCTGGGCATGCCATACCCTGCTGGTCCTAGGAGCTGGTTACACTCCCATTCTTGTATTCTGCAGGTGTCCAAGGACGACCGGAGTGATATTGAATCTAGCTCAGAGGATGAGGACTCAGAACCTCCAGGGAAGAAACCACACACCTCTACAACCACCAATGGAACCAGTGGGACCAACGGTTATCTCCTAACTGGTCCATGCTCCATGGATGATTGATTACCCCAAACTATAAATTCTCAACAAAGTGAACTGTTTGTTCCTGGAAGTATTTAATAAGTTGCAAATGCAGTTCCTTTCATGATATTTCATCACCAGAGACAAAAGTTAGGATTCTCAAAGCATTCTGAATAGTATGCTGCCATGTGTCCTGTCTGTGAATGAAGACGAAATCCCATTGTCTATGTCGGCATGCTGTGTGTAACTGACACAAGGGAACGGTGTTTGCATTTGTCTTAGTATGTTATTTATTTTTTATTTGTTTGTAAATCTGTGGACAAGCGAGGATGCCCTCACTCCTTTTCCTCTGGGCTCATGACTCACTGTGAAGGAGATGCTCCATCTGTTTCTACCCCTTTCTCATGCTGTAGTCCAGTGTGCCATGAGAATCAACTTACTTTAGAGCAAGTAAACCCCATGCAAGATCCTCACACAGTTCCCAGTAGGTTGGCTTTCTTTCTGTTCTGCATCCATTTTACAATTGCCCATATTGTCGGTGACTGTTGTCCCATGTGAGTCTAAACAGGATGAACCAGGTGTTATAGTTGCCACTCTTTGTGGTCAATTAGCAGTTGAAATGAAAGAGGATAGCTATTAGGGGACTTTGGAAATTTATATGAAAATTGCTTTGGAATAGTTTATCTCTTGTGTGGTAGATAGTTAGGAGTTGACCTTGTTGGTAGCAAAGTTATTGTGCCCTCCAGTGAAGCCAGTGTTCTGATTCTGAAACATATCACTTGCTTAAGATCACAGACACAAAGGGACACACATACTGGGGACTTGCTCTGTGCTCTGGGAATCACATAAGGATAGCAACTGATTTCAACCAGGTCTTGCCGTAACTCCTACTGTATTAGCCCGGTCTGCTGTCCTGCCGTATGAAAAAGAAGCCGAGAATGTTTTGAAGCAGAAAAAGAGAGTGAGTCTTTTAAGAGTTGGCAAAGACTACCTTCTGTGCAATGCACTTTGTTGCCACCAGCTCTCAAGAGAAAGACCTATCTAGCATTAGATTTGTTTTTATTTTGCTGAGAAAAATAAATCCAACGGGAGAAAGACCATTTACCCCTTGCCTTTCTCCTTAAGTGTGCCCCACAATGACTTTCTTGTTGCTAGAAGCATCAGGCCTGCACTGAAAATGTGTTTTATTTACTGCTGTGAAGACTCATGGGGGCTCCTCAGAACTTTCATTCAAGTGGAGCTATTTCCAGAAAAACAGCAAAACATCTACTGAACAATGGCAGTGACAACTATGAAAAAAATTACCAAAGAGTAAGTTCATGAGCGCCTCCCACTCCCTGCCCACCCAGGGCATTGTCAGTGGTATGGGGCTACGAAAACCACACAGAGAAGCCAAGGATTTTATCTCATCTCATCTTTAGTAAAAAGGGAAATAAATAGTAATACAAATACTCACAAGTCAAACATCACCTAAATCAGGAATAAAAAGCAATCAGGGCACCAAGTAGCCAATAGCAAAATGCTACAGTGCATGTGTGTCCTGCCCAGAGCCATCCACACTTCATTTGACTTTTTTAAATTAAATCTTCATAGCCATGTTTTGAAGCCTGTGAGTGAATAGTTAAGAGAAAACTCCCAAAGAACTCTTGCTGCAATGGTAGATCTTTCTCCACCCAATTGCAAAACAGTATTTTTCTGGTATGGTCCAGATAAAGATTTTTTAAAGCTTGGAAACTTGTCTACTTGTTACTGTGAAAGACAGTGCAACGACTGTATGTTGAGCCTTGGTTATTAACCAAAACAGTTACATGTCTAGGAGTGAAACTTGGAAGTGTTTTGAGTTTTATGAGACCAGTGATAAGACACCAAAGGTATTGTTAGTAATCAGAGGGTTTGCTCAAATGTAAATAGACGAGAAACAATAGCAGCGTTGAGAAGGTGAACCCTTCTTGTCAGCTGAGCCAAGGAGCATGCCTGGCTTGCAGCTTGTGTTAAGTGACTGGGCACATCCTCCCAGGGACGAAATCAACTTGAGACGCGTGGTGTATTTGAATTTGAACCAGGTGACCCTTTTTAGCACAGAAGAATTATAATATCAATTTGTAAATTCAGAAAAAGTATGTAAAATGAAGTAAGTTGATTCTGTCCATCTCAAAGGCAATTCTAAACCTTCTAAACTAGGGACATGCTTTCTGACTGACACCATTAGCTTGACTGGGTCTTCTACATGTCTGTAGATTTTTGTTTCATTTTACATTCTAGAGAAAATAATTCTGTTTGGCAAATTGAAATGGAGTTTGTATTCTATTCTGGAATAGAATATTAATATCTCTGTCTACTGTTCTCCCATAGTGACCAGATAAGACTGAGAAAGAGCACTGTGTGAGGAACCAGGCCATAGCTTTCAGAAGTATGACTTGTAAATCAAGCTGTAGGTTAGTTCCCAGTGGTGTTCTCATTAATTAGCTTAGCCTGTGATGACGTCCCCTTCCTCCTGGTTGCATTCAAATTTCCTAGGGTACCAAGGTGTGTGTAGAGAGGACACTAGAAAAAGTAACTTTTGATCTCCAATGTTATAGCTTACCTAGATTTAGTGGGGGAAACATAGGAAAACAAGTAGAATTTGGCCTTGAGTCAGTCAATAATTGATATGTGTGGTTTATGTCTGTATATGTATGCTTCTCCAAAAACCAGTAAAACCAAATTATTAATGATTCATCTTCATCCATATTCTTGTCATAAAAAATATATTCACATGTACTATAGAAACTTCCCTTCTCCTTTGTTTTGCTTCCCACCTGTTGAAAGTAGCAAAACCCTTTCAGCCTCTTATCCACAGAGGTCCCTGAGACAGAATTCAGGTCCTGGAGCACCAGCTGTCACACATAAGCCAAACTCAGCTCACCATCTCAAATTCAGTATCAGTATTGTGGATCATTCAAGTGTTTGTTGTAAAAATGCAAATGATTGCCATTTAGCCCCAGGCTTCTAATGCTGCTGAACTGCCAGACAGAGGATGTCCCAAATCCCCATCTGATTGTGCCACTGGCATCTAACAGAGATGAACAAGGCAGAAAAGGCAGGGAACAAGCAAGACTAGGTCAGATCTTTAGTCCATATGATAGGTTGAATCTCAGAATGTCATATTCTCATGTGAACACAGCAGTATACTCAGCTACAGCACTGCGCTCAAGAATGGGCTGCATGTGCTATCATGTTCCCAAAAGATGGTGACACAGCCTCGGTACCGAGAGGCAAAACTTTCTGCTTGTATGTAAGTGCACTCAGTGATGCTCATAGAATGACAAAATCAGTTAAAGACACATTTCTCAGAATGTGTCCCTGTTGTTAAGTGACATAAGACTATACTTGGTAGAGTTTGAGTTTGAGCAAACTGAATGCCTTCCTTTATCTTAGCTAGAAAGGGCCACAGAACCATCTATCTACCTTGCATTTAAATCTCATTGTTATTTGGGCTAAGTAAATAGAGACTTGGTTGTAGTTTGCCTGTTAAAAATGACTTCATTGTAGTTTATCTATGTCTTTGCTGGCAAGCTCTTGTAAGAGAATGTATGGGCACTCTTGATTGTCTCCAACCCATTCCTCATCTTGCATTAGTAATCATTTGGGTGGAAATTAATGCCAAAGTTGCCTGGATATTTGAGTGTTTTTCTTACTTTGAAGTGTAAAACGTATACAAAATTACCCCAAAGTTGTCTATAGGTCCTTTGACCAGTATGGGAGATGACATCATTATATCCAGAGGAGCTTCCCACACCTTTGGAAATATTAGGTTAAGTGTTCACATGTATGTGGTGTTTGTGGTCTTAAGGCTCTCACATGTTTATTTTCTTGTCTTTGGTGTATTTCTGCTTAGGACATAAGGAATTATATAGCCCTGAAATGTTTCTAACATCCAAATGAGAAAAAAAGTCCATTAAGATAAAAGTCAGCCTGAAAGGAAAGTGGTCACATGGCTCTTCCAGATTCTTCTGTACAAAGAAATGGAGAGAGCTCTAATTATTGCTCTTGCCTTCAAGTATGCCGTCCCTGGCCTGAATGATTGCAAGTAGTTCTTAAAGAAAGTGAAACAAGACTTTGTCTTAAATGTATGCTTCCCAAGATCAGGTTCCCTTGCTGAGTTGAAATTGTGCGGGTCTCCAAATGCTATCGGCTAATTATCAGTATTCTACCAATCATATTTTAGTTCTACAAACTAATGGGCCCAAGGAGGGCCCTGTAGTTTGCCTGTGTGTACATAGCATCAACTTGCCCTTTGGGGGCACCAAGTAGATGTGAGAGAGCCCTGGCCACAGCTGTTGAAACTCAATACTCAAACCTTTTATGAAGAAAATTGGATTGAAGAACATAAATCATCATAAATAATGGAATCTGTAGACACCCCAGTGAGAACCTTGGCCTCTTGCATGATTTTGTGACTTGAATTTAACCCAAAGCCTTTGAAATGAATGCATTGACAGATGGGTTCATTGAGGCCCTACCAACTCTAAGAAATTAAAAAGGTCTCTGTATGGTTGGTCATTTTCAGGGTTGCCAGGAAGTGATAATAGGGCTCCAGTCGCTTTAGCCTTCTGGAACTCTGGTAAAAGAAAGCCAAATGCTAACTTGTTTCTGCTTTCAATTTACTGGTGACCATTACATCAGTTCTTCCCACACCTCCTCCTCTGCCTGGTCCATTTTCCTGGGAGGGAAGAAAACTGTGCCCATGTATGTGTGTTTCCTTACCACAGGTCCACAAATGCTTGACTTTCTGTATTGTGAGTTGTCTAGGAACCAAGGTACAGCAGCAGTCATCATAGTTTCTATGTTCAGTGAAAAAATGGATTTCATTTCATATTTCTCATCCTTTTACCTACAGTAAATGTGATAAACTATCTGTAAAACTGTTCTTAATGTGAAGAATTTTTTTAATGTTGGCTACAAAGCTCTGGAGTAGTTATGCTATGATTCTGGAACTTTTGCTCAAAGGTAAATTAACATAAATGTGGAAAAACACTCCAGTTTGCTTTCCCCTGAGCTCACAGTTTTCATCACTCCTTTGCCCAAGTGGTATTCATTTACCGTCATGGCCTTTTGCTGTCATAGAAAAGGATGGTGGTTAATTTGGGGGTGTGTTTCTCTTTTCCAGCTGCCAGTGAGGACTGGGATAGGTGATGGAAGCTCTTTGTTTTGTTTCTAAAGACAGCTCAGTGCTTGAGCATCTGTCAGAACTGAAATGGTGTACCATTAGCCAATTAGAATTACTCTGTGTACCGTTACTGTGTTTTGCTGATTTTTATATGGAAATATAATTATTATTCATTCTTGATCTTTGGAAGTAATCATTATTATGAGGATCATTTTACTTTGGAAACACTTTCATAATAAAGATAAGCATTCAGAGTACAGCACAAGTGTCCTTTACTGTAAGCGCGACCCACTGAACTGGGAGGACATCACACATTCCTGGATCGGAGCTCAGCATGCAGTCATTTTTTCCAATTCTCCAAATAAGTGTGATCACTGAGCACTGGGGTTGTATCATCCTGTGACATGCTAAAATGTCTCCTTGAAATCTAGGCTGCAAAATCTTCAGTGTTAAATCTTATATAACACTCCATTCTGGAGTCATGATTTATAGAGAAAGCTATTTAAATAGATCAGATGGTGCTGATTTGTTTTTTTTTCCAAATTGTGAAGGAGACACTAATAACTAACACCCAAAGCAATCCATCTCTGTACATGTGCCTCCAACAGTTTGGCCGACATCATCCCTATCACTAGACTTTTGCCTCTGCTGAGTGACTCTGCCTTTCCCACATTGATCTTCCCATCTGTGCTTATGTCATGTAATATCTCAAAAGGCATAAAATAGCACCAACGTGCATCCAGAAACCATCAAAAATCAAAACTAACCCCACTTAAAAAAATCTTAGAAATATAGTGATCATACTGAACAGTAATCTGATCCGTTAAGTTATGATATCAGTCACCAAAATTTCCCTAAAACACACCACACACACACACACACACACACACACACACACACACTATAAGGCAATATATCCTTTGGGAAGTTATGAACTCTTCTGGTTCTAAGGAGGCTAATCCAATACTAGGAACATGTTCCTCAGTAGCAAAAATGCAACTTGGCTTTCCCCAGACCCCTTCTTGCTAGGACAATCATATCAGACCTGGGCATATGTGTTATTTCTACCTCCTGATTGTCTGCCAATCTTACCCTTGCTTCAACCAGAAGAGTGGCAACAATGTCAGCAACTCTCAAAGACAAAGCAGAGGGACTGGGCCTGCAGGGCCTACTGGAATTCCAGTGGCTCTTTGGGCACTGCTTAGAGTCTTGGCATCCACAGGTTTTTATTATCCCCAGGGACTCACACATGAAAAAGAAAGAGTCATGGTTTGGAAATGAAATGCGCCTCTCAGGCTCATGTGTTGAAAGCTTGGTTCCTGTGTAGTAGTTCTATTTTGTTGCATGGGGTATAGAGGAAGGAAGTGGCTCTCTAAGAGCAAGTTTTTCCAGGTTATACATAGTCCACAATCCCTTCCTTTCTTTGCTTCCCTTTTGCCATAAAGTAATAACCTCACAGGTGTTCCTGCTGCCAGGATGTCCTGCCCATGTTCATGGTGCCAAACAAGCACATTCTGAACCCTCCGAGACCATGAGTCAAAATAAGTTCTCCTTTAATTGCTTGTCCAATATTTTTATCACAGTGATACTAGAGTATTTAATACAAATTATATCATCTTTATATCAAGTTTATATAAGTGAAATCCACAAGCCAGTGTACGTGGATAAGTTGAAGAACCAAGGAAAAGAATATTTTTAGAAGTGCAGTCTGGATTACAAGATCAAACCAAGGTAGATAAGGTACCTTACCTAACAAGAATAAAAAAACAAAAACATTTTCTTCCCTGTGCTGGTAACAGATGCCAGTGAGAGGGAATGGTGTAGAGGAAGGGCCGTGTTGTGAGGGCTATAAACCTGGTTGGGGAGCAAGTATGCTTGTGTGTCTGCCACCCATTGGCTAAACTCAACCAGAAAGCTACCATGCAGAGCTCAGGAGATGCACACTGCAGAACCTCACTGCACCCAGCAAAGCAAAGATCTGGGGCATCAAACCGTACACAGCATCATACCAGGACCACTGGCTTTGGCTAGGACTTGGAGCATTGCAGAGAACAATCAATGTTGCAGGAACATCATTCAGTACCAAAAGAAAGTGTGCCCAGTTAGGATAGAGCTGGTAAGTAGTGAGCTATCAGCAATGTTCGAGAACAAGAGCAAACAAGAGTGAAGCGATAAAGGAGAAAGCATGTTGACTCCCACTAAGTAAAGAATCAAAGTTTCCTGTTGTGGGCCCCAACTCTGCTTACTGGTGTAGTGGGTACAGAATCTAAAAGGCTTTGGGGTGATTCAAGATGAGGGTTGAAACAGTGACTAGAGCCAAGCTGAGAGGTACTAGAGAAAGAGGACTCTTAATACTAGAGAACTGGTGAGCTAGAATTGTGGCATGAAAAAGCAAAAAGACCTAAGCTCCAACACCCATGACCAAGGTTTTCTTATGAATAATGGGAAATAGCCATTAGATGACTTGAGGAGCTAATGCTCAGGTTCCTGACTGTATCATGTAACTATTCAATAATATAGGGAGCCATAGGATGCAGATTGTTACTGAGAGTGAATAGAACATACAATCTAGGAAGGAAAAACAAGCTGATAATGCAACAAAAAGCTACACATGTCAGCAGGAAAAATGCAAATTAAAACATCAGGATAGTGCACTGGCAGTGGTGGCACAGGTCTTTAATCCCAGCACTTGGTCTACAGAGCAAGTTCCAAGATAGTCAAAGCTATTACATGGAGAAACCCTTTTTCAAAAAAACAAAACAAAAAACCAGCAGGCTCGCTCTCCATACATGTAAGTTGACCAGATACTGACAATGGCAAGTGCTAGCAGTGGGGCTAACAGTGCTCATACAGAAATGGTGGGATGAAAAGCCATGCAGACACTTTGGAAGACAGCAATAGTTCATTATAAAATTAACATGTTCTGGCCAGGTAGTGGAAGTGCACACCTTTAATCCCAGCACTTTGGAGGCACAAACAAGGCAAATCTCTGAATTTGAGGCCAGCCTCGTCTACATAGTGAGTTCAAGGATAGCCTGGGATACACAGAAGAACCCTGTCTCAAAATACAATAACAACAATAATAAAATTAACATGTTCTCCACAATAACCCAGCAGTCACTCTCCTTGGTATTGAGTCCAAAGGGTAAAAATATGGACACATAAAATCTTGTACACAGATAGTCATAGCAGCTTTATTCACAACTTCTTAATCTTGGAAACAACCCAAGTGTCCTTTAGTGGATGAATAGACAGATAAATTCTGCTACATTCAGAAGATTGTTGAAAAAGTATTCAATGCTATAAAGAAATGAGCTATTACCCATCCATAAAAAAGGAAGCAACTATTATTATTTACTATTACCTATTACTAAATGGAAATCACAGATCTGAAAAGGATAGACATCACATCATCCCACAATAGTTGACATTCTTGGGAGAAAGGCAAAGCCGTGGAGGTAAAAGAAAGAGGGTCTATTGGCAGCTGGTGACTGCTGGGATAGGGAGAGTCAAGTTTCCTTCAGATTTGGTTGCTAATTGGGTAGCTGTGCTCCAGTAGGTGGCCCTACACCCCTGCTCATACTGGCAGCATTAAGTGGACTCGGTGGTTTTAGAAAAGAGCACATGAAATTGGGAAGAAAGCATGGTGATGGTGGATATGGGAGGAGTTGACAGGGAGAGAATGAAGGATGAATTTGGTCAAAAATATTGTTTTTAGGTATGAAATTCTCACGTACATACAAGAAATTGGAACACAGACTCACAAACAAAGAAGACATAGTGAAAAGGTCACCTGAAGACTTGAGAAGCTTCAGAAGAAATAAAGCTCTATAACACCTGGATCTTGGTGTTCAAGACTCCAGACTGACAAAATAAGTCTCTGCACTTGATCTTAGCTAAAATCAGAGAAGTGATAACAAAGTAAGTCTCGGTTTTAAGTTCTACCTTCCCAGTCCTTGTTGTTTTGTTTCATAAGCTATTTAATAGATTTTTTCTTTTAGTTAATGGGGTGTCTTTTAAAAACAGGTTTTTGGCTCACAGAGAAATGAGGGGGAAGGTACAGAAATATCCTCACATACTCCATGGCCTGCTCATGCACTGCCTCACCTGTTACAGACACTCCACACCAAGAAGTCTTCATGTATTACAACTGCTGTCCCTATCATTCCAGGTCCAGCATTAGTTTAGGGTTTCCTCTTAGCGTTGTGCATTCTATGAGTTTAGAGAAATGCATAATGACATGTATCCAACATTCTGGAGTCGTATAAAAAATTTCACTGTCCTAAAAATCTTCTATGCTCTGACTGACTATTCTTCACTCTTTTGTACCTCTTGATTTTTTTTATTATTATTATTTGAGATTTTCAACATCCCTGGTATCCTATTGCTCTCTATGTGGACAGATCTCTCACTGAACCTGAAGTTAGGCTGCTATGATCAGCAAATCCCAGTCCTCCTGGCTCACAGTGCTGGGGTAACTATGCACATCACCACACCCAGATTTTCACATTGGATGCTAGACGCAATCCCTCACTCTTGCTCAACACCTGCTCTTACTCGGTGAGCCATTTCCCCAGACCCCTGTCTCTTTTACAAGGACACTATTCATACCTTATTGGTGTTCAACTATACAATCTTATTTATCTTATTCACCTCTATAAAAGCTGTGTGTCCCAACAGTATCATATCCTGAGTGCCACAAACTAAATTAGGGGTGGTACAATTTAGCCTTTACCGAAAGGTCTTTTCTCACAGTGCAGAGAGGAAAAGTGATGAAGAAACCAGGTGATTCCATGGTAATTTCCCAGCGATTTTTAGACTTCATGGCCACAGGCATCTCGTGGGCAAGAAGTTTAATGTAAGATCCTAAAAGCAGGAACAGCTGGCACTGACTCTGAGGCAGGAGCTGTTCAGGCAGTATAAGCCTGAGCCACAACACTTCCAAGGTAGGGATATGCCTATGTGCTCAAGGACTGGCAGGAAGGCCAACATGGGTGGGGGATAACACAGAAGGGAAAGTTAGGGGGGGAGAGATCACATAGGGCCTATGTCCCATGTGAAGGGTGGATTCGAGTAAGAATAACTAATAGGAAACCTTTAAGGGATTTGAGGAATAGCATGGTCTGGTTGGTTGTCATCTTTGGTAATAAAACACGGGTTAAACAGTGCCCATCATAGCCATGATCAGAAAAGCCCTCAAAATCTCCATATAGCAGTGGTGTTTGCATATGTGTGACGGACATCGGTGATAACAGGACG